TGGCGTGTGTGGAAACAAGCCTTACTGAACCGACACTGGAAATGTACTCTGATATACAGTGCCCTGAAATCGTATTATGCTCATGTAAATACTACGAGTGGGGGGGGGCTTTATCTGGGCATGGTATAATGGTTAGCAAGAAAAAAACTGATGCGTTTTGTCCTTCGAAAGGACTTATTCAGATTAACAATGGGTTTGACTTTATCATTCGTAATATTAGCCGTTTCCCTATAAGGAAACATTCGACATTCATTGACTGTGCAGCCAGTGATAATTTCGGTTGAAATTTCTAAAATCAAACAAATTTTGAGGAAATTTGGTTTCTCAAGTCCACTAAATTTTACCGCTCCTTGGGGGTTTCCTTCCTAACCTTTTTTTGGGAATAGTGTGAAATGTTAACATCTTAGTTATGTCATTATTTTCTCTCTGAGTTAATGTGTTACCCATTTTAGTTGTTGCTGCTGTTGGAACTCCTCTGTGGATGTGATTTCTGATATCTTGTACTGTTCTTTGTGATTCTGTGGCGCCAGCCAGCAAGGTAGACTGGACGGAATGTTATATACTACTGACATCTCCTTGTCGTCATTTGAGGAAGTGGCTCCTTATCGTGTCAAGTGGAGGAATGCGTGGATAAAAAGCATTTGAGAGGGTACGCATTATAAATCTACATATTGCAAGGTAGAACACTGAAAATTGTTCTAACATTTGTGCAGCCGCAACAAAGATTACTGATCCTTGTCCTATATGTGGAATGTTGTGTGGGATCTCAAACTGGGCCTCAAAAGTCATCAAAGGCACAAACACAAGTAGGGGTATCAAGTGCGTCATATGCTGTTGAACCCTCATACGCCGAAAACGACGAGAAAGTTCATTATATATGGGAAGAAATAAAAACAAACATTGGTTAGAATTTTATATGTCGCGAAACGCTAACAGATACAAGAATAATAAGATTTAAATTTAATTTTTTAAGTTTTCCGCATCCGGTATATCCTATCCGACTTGGACACCCCGAGGTGGTGTAATGGTTAGCAAGCTTGTCTCGCTAGAACAATTACGAGTGAATAGTGAGTTCGATCTTCACTGGGTACTCCATACTTTTGGCCTTATGCCACATCTAAGCTATGCTTGGAAAATCACTTGGCACCTCGAGTTAGCAAGCTTGTCTCGCTAACACATTTACGAGTGAGTTGTGAGTTCGATTCTCATTGGGTGCCCCATACTTTCAGCCTTGTGCCACATTTAAGCTATATTTGGAAAATCGCTATCCTATCTGACTTCAGTTAGTTTTCTTCACTTTTTTTTTTGTTGAAATTATATCACTGTTGATTTTTAATATCCTACATTGTAACGGAAATAGTTAGGAAAGATGTATTTTTTAGATCCTGGACGGAAACCTACCGTGGAAGTCTCAGAAATTAGTGTACTTTAAATACAGTTTTGACTTAATAAATGGTTCTTTTAATTGAGCTTGCATTTTTTAAGGTAAAAGTATAGTTAAACCTATTACGATAAGCGACTAATTAATTAATTAAAATCTATGCAGGGAAGGAAAGAGCGAGAACGGTTTAGACATGAAAATTGTTTCCCATTTGCTATTTGATTGGTATTTATAAAAAAAAAAAGTCGCGCGTTGCTTTCAATAGATAAAATTCCAAAAATTATGATAGGCTAACTTGCCTTACAACTTTCTTTCAGTTTTCGATATAGTCTACTCCAATCTACAAGATAAATGATTTAATAACAATCGATCCTTAGAGAATTCTATAAATGTTTTTATGACCAGCAATAAAATCTGGGAGATATGGTCTTCGAAGCAGTCAACCACTTGACTGAAAGTGAATAAAAGGATAAATAAATAAATGAAAACTTTGGGGGTCAAGTGACAACAGAGTGGATATTGAGAATTTCTGTTGCTAGTCTATATTAAGTCACTTGAGTAGAGTTCCGTAAAGCCTCTTCACGGAGACTGACTGTACATCAACTAGTTCAAATGCTTCTCGTACGTTGTGATGTTGAGATGTGCAGAGGTAAGAGACAGAGTCAAAGGGAAGAACTGATCTATTAGTCTGACATGGCGGAAGATTTTCCAATATAACGCAGAGGCAGCGAGAGGCGTACAGCCGGCACAAACCCGTGGGCCTCATGAAAATATGTTTAATTTCTTCATTACAAAAGGTACAGAACAAAATTACGAATCGGTATTTTATTGAAAAAAATACGAAGACTAAAACCAGTATTAAAACAGCTTAAAAGTGCATTTTTCGAACTTTCATTGAAACAAACTGTGCGATGAGTTCTTCAAATTCTAACTGCCAAATCACACCCGATCCCAAGGGTTGCCGAGTAAGACACGCTATTTAAAAAGTCTTGTAAGACACACTAGATTGATTTTGTTTATCGCAGCATCTTCTTTTCCGATCGGGAGGCCTCAAAATAATCTGAGTGCCGGACCTCGAAAATTCTCTCCCCGGTACTGATGTCACCTACCTACTTACCTACCTACCAAGTAAAGCTCCGAACAAACGCCTAAATATCTTGGAAATAAAATTCCAGTCCTTATTTCTCACCGTTGTGCGAATTTTCATGTTTTGCTTCCTTGTGAATTTGCAAAGGGTCTTTTCGAGATTTTGGTGTACATTGACACGAACAAAAATAACAAATGGTAATCGTCGTCCGGGTGATGTAAAGCTGAGTTGGGTGCACCGTTATAGGTTCACAATCGAAGTCAGCTAGCAAAAGCTACCCCAATCTACGAGGTGAGTTTCTTGTCTCCCACTTCTCGCTCGTGGAACTTTCTTCCGGCTTCTTGTTTCTTCCCAGTCAACTTTGTTCTTCAAGAAATGTAAATGCAATGTCAATTGTTATCGTCTGTCTTCGTAATTCTTTTATTGTTCTCTCTTCTAAATAGTATTTTCTCATATTCTCTAACACTTAATAACTACTGGCATCTTAGTGGTTTTATTGCCTTGCTTTGGAATTAAGTGATTAAAAAAATCCCAAGGGAATTGAATGTTTTCAATAGTCGAAGTCGTTCTGCACAAGCTACCTCAGTCTACACGATAAATGATACAATAATAGTCTTAAGGGAATTGAATAATTGCTTTCAGTGTTTGGAGTAGTCTAGCAAAAGCTACTCCAATCTACAAGATAAATGTTTCAATAATAGCCAAGCCTAAGGGAACTGAATAAATGTTTGACTAGAAATACTATTTTTTAAAATTTCCTTTCAGTCTAAAGTACATCGACATTTGAACCGTTAACGTTTGCAAGGTTAGATTTCCCGACCGTCAGTTTATAGAAGCTATTCGCGTGCTTCATAAGCGTTATCTTGTTCTAAGGATGGCGTAATTTCTGATTAAACTTGGCCACTTCTGGTAAAAGGCTATAGCTTGGGGGGGGGAACTTTAAACTATCTTTAAAAACTGCAGCAAGGTAAAAAAAAAACTTTATAAAGCCTAAATTCGGTAGATGATATTTAGATTAAAACACTTTCTAAACAATTTCGTCTTAGTAAATTGTTTTCTCTTTTACTTAGAGGAGTATGTGTAATAATTGCTACAAGAAATACATCGGAGAAACCCCAAGGAATTTAAATGAAAGATTATATGAACGCAAAAGGGAGCTTTTACAAAACAACACATTAAATGCATTAGTTATTTCCCGTAACAAAACTGGCCACAATTTTGATTTTAAAAATGCTGCTCTAATTAAAAGTGAAAACAATTTACAAAACAAAAATATTTAGAAAGTCATTATATCATCCACAGTAAATTTGTGTCTAGTTCTGATAACGTTTTACCATTCTTGGCAAATTTTCTATAATCATAATGTGGGATATTTAATAACAAAAGTGATGGAAGAAAACAAAAAGAATCTAAATGGAATCGGCTAGATTATATACTCAAAACACATAAAAAACATTTTAAATTTTAAATTCCTAGCGTCTCTCGTTCGTGAGCATGTGTAGTCGCGCTGATGTAAACTTAGTCTGATGAAGTCCTAATGAACGAAACGCGTCACACGAAAACTTTTTCCACTTTGTCATACTTTCCCCCCACTAAATTGGACCTAATTCTACATCTGTACATAGAACGATAGTTACCGTACACTTTACACAACGCCTAAAGAAAGAAAATGAAACTGATTTCTTTTGATCAATTTAGAGAATCTTTTCTGTCTTCCATCGGCATGGTTATTGCTAACTTCTAACCTCTCGTTGCATCTTCTCGGTCTCACGTTTTCCTCTTGCATGAAGTGGAACGATTATATTGAATCATTCACTAGATCTACTGCTAGGGAAATCGATTCACTATGTCCTGCTAGACAATATTTCTCAACAAAATCTATCTTGCACTTTTCTTACCAGTCTACCATTCGCCCGTGCATTGAATATTCTTGACACATATGGTCTCGTGCTACTACTTTATACCTAGAGATTCTTGACAAAATCCAAAAAGGAATCTGCAACGTTATAGGTCCTGACCTGGCATCTCGGTTTCAGTCCCCCCCCTTTTCACTGCCGTAGCGTAACTTTCTCTGTGTCTTTTCTATAAATATTTTCCATGGCAATTGTTCTGTTGGGCCTTCCTCATTGGTACCTCGACTTCGCGAAGCTAAACGCAGAACGAGTCTCTTAAGTCCATTATTGAAATTGCTTTATGTGGCATGCTTCTTCTCTCACATTTCTAACCTTCTTGTATTCCTGCCAACTTTGGTCTTCAAACATTTTAAATGCAACGTCATTCGTTATCTTCTGTCTCCTTGAATCATGTCCTTTTACCGCTCCTCATTATTTCTTTGAATCTCATTAATCCCTCCATCTCATTGGCTTTTATCAACTTACTTTTTTAAAAAGTCCCTATTTTTCTTAAGACTTCTGCCATGACTTTCTTCTTTCTAATTTCCTGTGTTTTTCATTTACTTCACAAACTCGTAATAATTTTTCTTTTATGTACTGTGTTTTTCAGAATATGAGAAACACTCTCTGACGTTTTACAGGCCATATCAAGTTGAAACACTGGTTTTCATACGATCCTTGAAGTTAAGCAACGTCAGTCCTGGTTAGTACCTAGATGGGTGACGACTTGGAATACCATTTTTTAACAATGTTAACCATCTATAACTCCCAGGCTGCTAAAAACTAACCAGCCTAAATGCTACAGAATTTTGGGCTTCCACCATTTTCTCTTTGACCAATCGTCATCTTCTGTCTCCTTGAATACTGCCCTTTTATTTTCCTCGCTATTTCTTTCAATCTTACTAACCCCTTGCATCTCATTGGCTTTCACCACCTGGGGGGGGGCGGATATTTCTTTTTAATTTCTATTATCTTGAGCTTTCTGTCATAACCTTTCTCTTTTTCATTTTCGTGTGTTTTTCATTTACTCCACAATGTCTTGATAATTTTTCTTTCATATACCGTTTTTCAGAATATACAACGCATTCCTTTTGCAGCCGATTTTACAATTGCATGATATAACGATAAGATTTATACTAACAGCTTTGTCTCTGGCATTTCTCTCTTGTGGAATTCTCTTCTGGATTTTTTTGATTTCCTGCCAACTTTGATCTTCAAAGATTTTAAATACAGTGTCAATCGTTATCGTTTTCTTTCACTCTCAGTAACCCCTTGCATCTTATTGGCTTTTAAAGCCTTAACGGAAAATAATTTTTTTTTTAAAAAGCCATTGTTTGTAGTTTCGTTTCTCAAGATTCTCTTCTCTTCTGAAAGTGTTACCCTTTTGATGGAATTCATCAAATATCTGAAACACAGCAAATGCATAATATAAGCTTCAAAGCACTAAGCACGACACCCTGACCTTTCCAAAGAATATGGAATCAGAATAACAATAAGTTAATCTGCGTTTGCCAAACATTTAAACATTCCTGGAATTAATACACGAACACGATTGCCAAATTCAGATTCAAATCTTTTCCTATCACTCTTCAGTTTCACTGGTTAAGAGAAGAACAATCTCGCCAGCTATCTTAGATGCTTTCATAAACTGTTATTAATTGTCCCGCCATATAAGGCGCACTCCTCCCCGCCACTAAAGACCACCGCGCATTTTATAACCGCGATGATGATAGTGTTATCAATATTGTTGTTCACACACACACACATATATATATATATATTATAAATAACAAAATTATTACAAATCAAAACAATCATATCTATCTATCTATCTATCTATCTATCTATCTATCTATCTATATATATATATATATATATATATATGATTGTCTGTGTGACCAAGATCGAAACACCCATATGTGTATATGAGTATAAATAATTAAATTATTACAGATCGAAACAATCAAAATATATATATATATATATATATATATATATATATATATATATATATATATATATATGTGTGTGTGTGTGTGTGTGTGTGTGTGTGTGTATGTATGCATGTATGTATGTATCTTATTTTAGGATATTACATAGAAAAACATGTCAAAATAGCTAAACAATTGCAGTCGTGTTTCAATGCATATCAATGCATCTCATCAGGCGATTGTAAATTACTGGCGGGTGAACGATTTATTCAGATTTAAAAGCAAAATATAGCTGTTTTTACAAAAAAAAGAAATAATGAAAAATAAAAGAAAGAAGAAGAAAAGAAAAAGACATATTTTAGTTTGTAATAATTTAGTTAATTACAATATAGATGTATGCATGTGTGTGTGTGTGTAAAACGCCTATTGATACGTCGTATATACTCGTGTATAAGCCGACTTCATGTATAGTGCGACCCCTAAATTTTTTGCATGAATTTTAACTCCTCTGGAAAAAAAATTATCTGTGTATAGTGCAACCAGTAACCAAAGATGCATGACTTTTAACCTCTTCAAACAAACACATGTGTATGGTGCTACGCCTATCTTTTGCGTAAAAAACTAATCATAAAAATTTGCACTCTACTCGTGTATATAAGGAACGTAAAATTATATAAAATTTTGTCATGGTTAACAGAATTTTTGTCAACAAAGTGCTGCATAAATATCTAGAGCAATAGTTGATGTCTCAAAAGTTTCATATATTTTATATATATATATATATATATATATATATTTAAATCCACATTACAACCAAAAACGTTTGCGGTTTCTCTCTTCTTCTTAATATACACATTTTTCTCTCCTTGGAACTACTATAACCTCTACCGTTATATATATATATATATATATATATATATGAATAAGCAATTTTGATAAAATGATATAACAGTAATAATAATTTTATTATTAACAACAATATAGATGTTATATATAGAGGTTCATATATATATATATATATATATATATATATATATATATATATATATATATATATATATATAAAGTACAGTGTATGTGTGTGTGTTTATGCGTGTGTGTCCAAGCAACACCTCCGCTCCCACTGGTCCGATTTCAATGATTCATAGCTCATTCAAAAGCCCGAGAAAAGTTAGGCGCAGGAAACTTCTTTTTTCTTTTTTTTTTTTTGAGCTCAGATTCAGGGCTGCCAGATTATGCGAGGTTAAAAATATATATTAATATATTATACTAGCCATTATCGTTGCTTTCGTGGTTCAATGGGAGCAACTATCATTTTCCAAAATTGCAGTTAGCTTAAAATTTGAAGGTATCTATAGGGCGGCATTTAAGCTAGCTCCTGCGGAGGACTCATAACAATAGCTAGGAAGGAGTAGATGCAATAGGCATCAATAAACTACAGAAGGACTCAAAATTGATTGCTGCATTTAAGTATTAAATTAATGTTTAAGCTTACCTTTTAAAAGTTCAACGATAATTCTTCTGTTGAAATTTAATTTAAAGACAATTTAATGTACGTAGATCCTTATTTTCTGAACAAACAATTATTTTTATTTTATTACAGAACAAGGGGAAATTTATGAGATAAAATTAATATATTGTAAAGATGGGAAAATAGAAATTAGAATTAGTTATACATTCACCATTTGAAAAGTTAGAGAAACAATGTATAATTAAGTAAAACCTATATGATGGAATCTATATGAATAAATTCGAAATTGGAGCTCAATTCTCCCACAAACTATGTGATTAAAAAAGCCCCAATTCTATTTTATAGTAATTTGGAATTTACTCGATCCTACCCCCATGAAGTTACGGTTTAAGATCGGTCTAATGTGCGGTGCTCGAGCGCGTACACCCGGGGTAGGAACAAAAATTCTCCACTGCCTTAACCGGGTATTGAAGTCACACTCTTTGAGTCCTGTCACTGGATCTAACTAACGCCTTCATCCACTGTGCCATGTGTCCTTGAGGAGATAACTGATAACTGACACCCATTAAACATAGCACGTAGAACTAGAACAGTCTACCCCAGTGAGCGAAATAAAGGGTTCAGTTCGACATTCCAATCACCTGAAGAAGGACGGAACGTACAACGGCCGAAACGTTGTAATAAATATGGCGACAAAGATGAGGGCAATGGTCCGAATAATGTAAATAGTGTTGTTAAATGCTTGGAATCCCGACACTCAGATAGCAACAAAAACCTGGGTAGACGTATCCTGACAGTAATTAATAACCAAATAAACACTATGAAAATGCCTGAGAGGATTAATTCCGAGGATAATTTAAATCATTTAATTGACATTTAAGCCTTTTTTTGGCATTTAAAATGTTGCCAGGATTACATTTAATACTAATTAGTAACCAGTTTTCATATCAAATTCTTTCCTTTATACATAGGTCTATTTTTTTTAATAATATTTCCGTTTTACAGTCTTCTATTTTGCCTTACTTAAATTTTCATTTATGTTTGATATTATCTGTTAAAATATATAAATACAGAAGGTGTTATTTTGAAAATTTCAGTTTTGCTTACCTTATTAAGAGAAAACGCATAATTAAAAATAAGCATATGCTAATCAGGTTCAAACGTAAGGTATTGCTAGACTTTATAAACATAACCTTTCATAATTGTTCGCTTTAATGAAAAGAAAAGAGACAAGTATAACTATTATGGGACGGAGGTATTATTATTATTATTGAAATTTTCACGATGATGGTTTCAAATACCGGATATAATTTTAAGCGACCTCTGTCAAATCTGAAAAACCCAGACGATAAGCACTTTCCGCAGTATATATTCTTCAAACATTTAAATGCAGCGTCAACTGTTTTCTTTTGTCTTCTTAATACCTGTTCTTTTATTTTTGACTCTATTTAATAATGTTTCTCCTCATATTCTCTCGCACTCAATAGTCCCTTGCTTCTTAGCTGCTTTATTGTCTTGCTTGGGGTGAAATGATTAAAAAAGAAACGATAATTGAATTGTTGAAGTTTATCTTGGAAATTTGAAGAGACTTGAAGTCTCTAAGTGGTTAGCGATGATCGTCAAATATCTGGTTTCATCTCAAAATGAATAATAATAATAATAATATTAATAATAATAATATCAATAATAATATTAATAATAATAATATTAATAATAATAATAATAATAATAATAATAATAAAAGTTGACAAAGTACAAAGACCTTGAAATAGAAATCTCGAAAATCTGGCATATGGGAACATCAACAATCCCTGTTGTAGTTGGAGCCCTAGGACTGGTTGGAAAAGATTGCAGTAGACTAATTGAAGGGATCCCTGGAAGTCCATGCCTCAAGGAGATACAAAAAAATTGTTCTGACAAGTACAGCCCACACCTTACGAAGGGCTTTATCTATGTAATTTAATTTTTTTTTGTCAGTGGAAAGTGTCATGCCGCCATTTCTAACCTTAGGTCCCTGGGCGGGACCCGAAAAGAAATGTGTAAACGCCAGAAATCAAAGAAAATAATAATAATAATACATCAACCGGTTGTCATTCTACGACTTCACGACAAAACAAAGCAAAATTGTACAACAGTAAGAAAACAAATAAACCCAATGAAACTGGAGGAAGACGACGACGGGGAAAGAAAGACAACAAAATAGTAGTGAAATAGGAAAAAGTATTGAAAAGATGAGCATATGAAGCGTCAGTGGGACTTTTCACAATTCAGACTGACAAGAATTATTGAACAAAATATACCAGAATTAACACTGATCATGTGGAACTCTCTTTC